CTGTCCCCCTGTCCCTGTCCCGTGTCCCCAGCCGGGTCCCTGTCCCCTGTCCCCCTGTCCCTGTCCCCCTGTCCCTGTCCCCCTGTCCCTGTCCCTGTCCCCGTCCCTGTCCCGTGTCCCCAGCCGTGTCCCCTGAGGCTGTCCCGTGTCCCCGCAGGTGTCACAGTGGGGGACCCCCACGTGTGTCAGTGGTTTCATGGCCCTCGATGTCCCCCCGCCCGCGGGTCCCCTCTGGATCCTCGGGGACGTTTTCCTGGCGCGTCACTACGCCGTGTTCGACCGGGACCACGCCCGCGTGGGGCTGGCCCCCAGCAAGTGACACCTGGGGACACCTGGGGACACCTGGGGAACACCTGGGGACACCTGGGGATACCTGGGAGACACCTGGGGAACACCTGGGGACACCTGGGGACAGCTGGGGAACACCTGGGGACACCTGGGAGACACCTGGGGACACCTGGGGACAGCTGGGGACAGCTGGGGACACCTGGGGACAGCTGGGAGACACCTGGGAGACACCTGGGGACAGCTGGGGACACCCGGGGGACAGCTGGGAGACACCTGAGTGCCCTTGGGGACCACCTGGATCCGCTTGGGGACCACCTGGCCACCCACACCAAGGATCCCTGGGGACCCCCGGGTGTCCCCGGGACCACCCAACCCCTGCACCCCTCCAGGGACGCCCCCTCCCCCAGGTGACCCTTCCAGGTGTCCCCACCTGAGTGACCCCAGGGTCCTGTCTGTGCCCACCCCCCGATTTCGGGGTCCCCTTTTGGGGGGGCTCCAATAAAGCTGCTGGTCTGGGGGCTCCTGGTGCTGGCTGTTCCCTCGGGAGACCCCTCCCCACTCCCGGACCCCCCCAGACCCCCGGGGCTTTGTCCCCAGTAGCCACCAGTGCCCCCCAGTAACCCCCGCTCCGCCCATGGGCGGGGCTTCACCTGTGGGGAATGAGGGGCGGGGTTTGGACACCTGTGTGGGCGGGGCCGCCGCCATGCGGGCGTGGTTCCGCTGTATGGGCGTGTCCATTGCTCAGTTCCAGCGCGGTCTCCCCTCACGGTGGGCGTGTCCCAACACTCCCCCCCCACCCCCGCGACTATCGCGACTATCGCGAGTGGTGATCAACGGGGAGGGGGCGGGGGGGCCGTCACCCATCGGAGTGGGCGTGGCTTCCCCTCACGGTAGGCGTGGTTTCAAAAAGGCGGGCTTTTCCTCACAGAGTGGGCGTGGCTTCCCCACGATAGGCGTGGTTTCAAAAAGGCGGGCTTTCCCCTCAGAGTGGGCGTGGCTTCCCCTCACAGTAGGCGTGGTCTCAAAAAGGCGGGCTTTTCCCCTCGGTGTGGGCGTGGCCTCCCCTCAGAGCGGGCGTGGCCTCCCCTCAGTGCGGGTCCGTCCCCGCCGCGCCTGCGCCCCCCGCGCCCGCCCCGCCGCGCCGGGATGCGGCACCCGCCGTCCCCGCTCCCTCCCCTCGCCCCCTCCTCCTATCGCGACTCTCGCCCCCTCCTCCTGTCGCGCCTGTCGCCATGGGCTGGCAAGCCGAGCGCGACAAAGTGGTGATCAACGTCGGCGGCGTCCGCCATGAGACCTACCGCAGCACCCTGCAGACGCTGCCCGGCACCCGCCTGGCCGGGCTGGCCGAGCCGGGCGCCGCCGCCCGCTTCGACTACGATGCCGGAGCCGGCGAGTTCTTCTTCGACCGGCACCCGGCCGTGTTCGCCTACGTGCTCAACTACTACCGCACCGGCAAGCTGCACTGCCCGGCCGACGTGTGCGGGCCGCTGTTCGAGGAGGAGCTGGCCTTCTGGGGCATCGACGAGACGGACGTGGAGGCCTGCTGCTGGATGAACTACCGGCAGCACCGCGACGCCGAGGAGGCCCTGGACAGCTTCGAGAGCCCCGAGGGGCCCGGCCCGCCCGAGCCCGCCGAACCCAAGCGGCTGTGCCTGGAGGAGGGCCGGCCTGCCAGCTGGTGGAGGCGCTGGAGGCCGCGGCTCTGGGCGCTCTTCGAGGACCCCTACTCATCGCGGATGGCCAGGGTGAGGGGCTTTGGTGGGGGGGGCTGCTTGGAGGGAGTTGGAGAGGTTTTGGAGGGCTCTGAGGGGGTTTAGAGGGGTTTGGGGCAGCTCTGAAGGGGTCCTGGGGACTGTGAGGGGGGGCTTGAGGGGGGTCTAGAGGGGTTTAGGGCAGATATGAGGGGGTTCTGAGGGGTTTAGGGCAGATCTCAGGGGATCTAGAGGGGTTTAGGGCAGATCTGAGGTGGTCTAGAGGGGTTTAGGGCAGATCTCGGGGGTCTAGAGGGGTTTGGGGCAGCTCTGAAGGGGTTCTGAGGGGATATGAGAGGATTTAGGGGGGCTTTAGAGGGGTTTAGGGCGTTTCTGAGGTGCTTTAGAGGGACTCTAGAGGGGTTTAGGGCATCTCTGAAGGAGTCCTGGGGGGCTTAAGGCTGCTTTAGAGGGGCTTAGGGCATTTCTGAGGTGCTTTAGAGGGGCTCTAAAGGGGTTTAGGGCAGCTCTGAAGGGGTCCTGAGGGCTGTGAGGGGGTTTAGGGGGGCTCTAGAGGGGCTTAGGGGGGCTCTAGAGGGGTTTAGGGCAGCTCTGAAGAGGTCTGGGGGACTTGAGGATGCTCTGAAGGGGTTTAGGGCATTTCTGAGGGGGTTTAGGGGGGCTCTAGAGGGGTTTAGGGCAGGTCTGAGGGGTTTTGGGGTCTTTTAGGGGAGATATGAGAGGGTTTGAGGGTGTCTGAGGATGTCTGCGAGGGCTCTGAAGGGCAGTAGGGGAGGTCTGAGAGGTGTTGGGGGGGCTCTGAGGGAGTTTAGTGGGGTGAGTGGGGCTTTGAGGGGGTTTAGAGGGCTCTGAGGGGGACTGGGAGTTTTTGGGGGCAGTTTTTAGGCTGCAGAGGTTCAGAGAGGAGTTAAGGGAGATGTTAAGGGGGATGTGAGGGGGTTTCAGGGTGTCCGAGAGGTTTTAGGGAGCCTCTGGAGGGGTTTAGGGCACCTCTGAGGGCGTTTAGGGGTGTCCGAGGAGGGTCAGGGGGGATGTGAGGGCTTTAGGGGGTCTCTGAGGAGGATCCAGGGGTGTCTGAGGATGGTTAGGAGGGCTCTGAGGGGGTCTCGGGGCACTGTGACAGCATTTAAGGCACCTCTGAGAGGTTTAGGGGGGCTGTGAGGGGGTTTGGGGCCTCTCTCAGGGGCCCTTGGGGGACTCAGAGACTTCAAGGGGAGTTTAGGGGGGATCTGAGGGGTCTGAGGAGGGTTTGGGAAACTCTGGGGGGCTTCAGGGAGGATTTTGAGGCGGTTAAGGGGGCCCTGGAGGGGTTTAGGAGGGATGTGAGAGGGTTAGGGCAGCTCTGAGGTGGTTTTGGGGGGAATGTGACTGAGTTTAAGGGGGCTCAGAAGGGATCTTGGGGGACTCTGAGGGTTTTAGGGCACCTCTGAGGGGGTTATGGGGGGCTCTGAGGGGTTTAGGGGGGCTCTGAGAAGGTTTAGGACATTCCAGAGGGGACTTTGGGATGTCTGAGGGAGTTAAGGACATCCCTGAGGGAGTTTAGGAGGTGTTAAAGTGATTTTGAGGGTGCGGGGGGGTCTCTGACAGGGTTAGGGGGGCCCTGAGGGGGTTAAAGGGGTTTTGTGGGTCTGCAGTGGGCATCTCTCAGGTTTAAGAAGGCTCTGAGATCACGTATTTATTAAT